GGGGTTGGAACTAGATGATGTTTAAGGTTCCTTCCAACCCAAATCATTCTATGATTCTATGATTTCAGTTTGAGTTAAAAAAGAGACGGTAGCCCCTCTGTCCTATTTTCTGTCATTGTGACTTCCTAATTGCTTCCTTCTAATAGTGGCTTTTCACTTTACAGTTGCAAATCTATAATTCTGAGCCAATTTGGAAAATGAATATTAAGAAAAGAGGAGAATCTCATTGTTCACAGAATCACAGAATGGTGAGCGTTGGAAGTGACCTCTGGAGATCAAATAGTCCAACCCCTCTGCCAAGGCAGGTTCATCCAGAGCAGATTACACAGTTATGCATCCAGGCCGTTTTTGAATATCTTTGGAGAAGGAGACTCCACAACCTCTCTGGGCAGGTCATTCCAGCACTCTGTCACCCTCAGAGCAAAGAAGTTTTTCCTGTAGTACAGGTGGAACTTCCTGTGCTCCAGTTTGTGCCTGTTGCCCCTTGTCTTATTGCTGGGCACCACTGAAAAGAGTCTGGCCCCATTATCTTGACACCTGCCCTTTAGATATTCATAAGCACTGATGAGACCCCCTCTCAGTCTTCTTTTCTCCAGGCTGAAGAGAGACAGATCTCTCAGCCTTTCCTCATAAGGGAGATGTTCCAGTCCTCTAACCATCTTTGTAGCCCTCCTCACGACTCACTCCAGTAATTCCCTGTCTTTCTTGAACTGAGGAGCCCAGGACTGGACCTAGCACTCCAGACGTGGCCTCACCGGGGCACAGTAGAGAGGGAGGTTGATCTCCCTCGACCTGCTGGCCACACCCTTCTTAATGCACCCCAGGATACTATTGGCCTTCCTGGCCACGAGTGCACATTGCTGTCCCATGGTTAACTTGCTGTCCACCAGCACTCCCAGGTCCTCCTCTGCAGAGCTGCTTTCCAGCAGGTCACCCCCAGCCTGTATTGGTGTCTGGGGTTATTCCTCCGCAGGTGCAGGGCTCTACACTTGCCCTTCTTGAACTTCATTAGGCATCAGAATAGGAGGTATCATCGTTTGCAGAAGAAAATCCAGGAGCTTTTGTACAGCCGGATTAGATTAGTAAAATAGTGTTGCTGTAGCTAATTACACAGAAGAGGGCAGAATTTGCAGCTCTCCCAGCTGGTATGAGCCAAGAAAAGTTTTCTGTAGAGAAATTGTGCTCCACAGTGAAATATCCTCATTCAAATCAGTACTTTGTGATTTAGAATTATCTGTAAATGTGAGCAAACACATTGTCCTGTAAGAGATCCAGTGATACTAGAACATTCAAGAATGCTGATAACCAAAACTCTTAAGTACAAAACCTTTTAATAGTACTATCCATGTTCTCCTACAGATTTAATTGTGTCCATATTTGATTGTGTTCAGATGGTCTTTGAATACCTCCAGCAGTGGAGTCACTATCCCTGGAGATATTGAAAAGCCACCTGGACATGTTCCTCCACAAACAGATCTAGATTGTCCTACTTGAGCACATGACCTCCAGAGGTCCCTCCCAACATCAATCATTCTGTGTTTTGGTGGTATCTTTGTCATACACAGAATATTTGCCTAGAAAAATTAAAAGAAGAAAGCTGAGGTTAGGATTATAATTATTTGGATAGAAGAAATAAATTGCACATTAACAGGCCAGTTCATTAAAGGAAAAAAGCAGCACATCTTGCCTTATAGCTATAGATAGAGAGGTCAGGAGCACTAACACAATCAAAAAAAATTTCTTGAAGAAAATGTCAGGCAAGCGATGTCTTATCAGCCAGAGGTGGAGTACCTTTGGAGAATGCAAAAAAATATTCAGGCCTCAGGTTCTCTTGATGTGATTACAAAAAGCAGTGCCACTACTACTGCACCAAGGGCACTAGTTTACACCATATCACCTCTGTTATCCATCAACTTCATTTTCTTATGGATGTGCATATGAGAAATATCTGTCCAGTTTAGGGCTAGTAGTTATTCAGTGGTAAAAATGAGCATGTTTTAGCACTGAAAATTATTCTAAAATCACTAGTAATGACCTTCCCCTTCTGTCCATCTGACTACACTATCACATCTTTCTGGTGGGAACATGCTGCCACTCAGATGCTGGGCTGTAGACTGTGCCCTACTCTGACGCCAGTGTCGGATAGCAGCAGTGAGCCCAGCTGTGGTAGGTGTGCCTAGGGAGAGGAGCTCCTCTGATTAGTGGCAGAGCTCTGGGAAGAGGGGAGTAGGTTGAGGAATATCAGGGAGGGCAAGAGAGAAATAGACTACTGGAATTGCACCCTACCTTCCCTGGGACAGGCCCAACAGGCAGACAGGGCATGGGATGCATAAGACTCCCTTTCCACTCTCCACCCAGTGGAACATGGTGACTTAAGTGATATGGGGCGATGGAAGCAAGTTCCTGCCTGGTGCAGCAGGTGAGCATCTCCTGTGACTACCCCACCTTCCCACGTTCTCTTGCATAATAAGTACAAGGATCTGCAAATTGAATAAAACAACAAGGACAAGGGTTCACCTGGCTCGGAGGTCTCACTGACATTAAGATGGCCTATGCCCTGCATCAAAATGACTTTCACAAGGAAAAAAAGACAGGTCATTGTCATAGGCGACTCTCTCCAGAGGGGAATCGAAAGCACAATATGGAGACCAGACGCACTTCTTAGGGAAGTCTGCTGCCTCCCTGGGGCCTGCATTAAAGATTTGAACATCTGGTGGTGCCCTCAGATTATTATTTGTTATTGGCTTTTCAGGTATACAGTGATGAAGTTGTGGCAAGTAGTCCAAGGGAGATCAAAAGAGGTCTTCAGGGCCTTGGGATGACTGATCGGGGGATCAGGAGCACAACTGATGTTCTCCTCTGTCCTTCCATTAGCAGGGAATGACAAAGGAAGAAACAGGGTCCACAGATCAATGCCTGGCTCTGAAACTGGTGTCACCAGCAGGATTTTGAATTCTTTGATCATGAGTTGGTCTATACGGCACCAGGCCTGTTGGTGACAGATGAGTAATGGCTGTCTCTGAGGGTGAGAAGGGTCCTGGTGCAGGAGTTAGCAAGGATCATTGAAAGAGCTTTAAAACTGATTTGAAGAGGGAAACAGATAAAACCAGGCTCGCTGGAGATAAGCCGGGGTGTGGCACACCAGTGTTTGAGGGAGGGTGTACTAGCAAGGACCTTTGGTCTACCATCACAGTGGAGGTAAGGAACGTAGACCCATGGAACAGCAAAGACACAAGGGTTGTTGATGTGCTAGAAATCGTGGAAGGGCCTGAGAACAGTCACATAGGAACCGAGGCTTCTCACATCAAAAAGGTGGCAGGATCGCTAGCCCAACTGAAGTGCATCTGCATCAGTGCATGCATCCTGGGCAACAAACAGGAAGAGCTGGAAGCCATTGTGGAGCAGGAAAACGATGACATAGTTGCCATCATGGAAACATGGTGAGATGACTCACACAACTGGAGTGCTGCAATGGATGGCTATAAACTCCTCAGGGGGGACAGGCAAAGAAGGAAAGGTGCTGGAGTAGCTCTGTATGTCAAGGAGTATTTCCATTGTCTAGAGATTAATGATGCTGATGACAGGGTTGAGTGCTGGTGGGTAAGAATCAGGGGGAACAACAAGGCAGATATCATGGTGGGACTCTGTTATAGACGACCCAACCAGGATGAGGAGGCAGATGACTTAAACAGCTGGGAGAAGTTTCTCAGTCCTTAGCCCTTGTCCTCATGGGGGGCTTCAACTTACCAGATGTCTACTGGAAATACAACACAGCAGACACGTAATAGTCTTGGAGGATGCTGGGGTCTGTGGAAGTTATCTTCCTGACAAAGCTGGTGAGTGAGCCAAGCAGAGATGGTGCCTCCCTGGACTTGTTTTCTGTGAACAGACAAGGACTTATGGGGGATGTGATGGTTGGAGGCCATCTTCATCACAAAATGGTAGTTTTTGATTCTCGGAGAAGTGAGGAGGGTCCTGGTTGAGTGAGGGAGGGTCCCTGAGTGAGGGACCTGGTTGACAGATTCCCTTGGGAGGCAGTCTTGAATGTCAAGTGAGTGCAGGAAAGCTGGACAATCTTCAAGAAGGCAGTCTTAAAGGCACAGGAGCAGGCCATCCCCATGAGCCAAAAGATGAGCTGGCAGGGAGGAAGAACAGCCAGTCTGAACAGATTGCTTTGGCTGGACCTAAGGAAAAAAGGGGACTTAATGACCTCTGGAAGAAGGGGCAGGCAGCTAAGCAGGACTACTATGAGATTTTGCAGGGAGAAAATTAGAAGGGCGAAAGCCTAGCTCAAACTTAATCTGTCTACTGATATAAAAGACAATAAAAAATGTTTCTATAAATACATTAGGGACAAAAGAAGGGCTAATGAGAATCTTCATCTCTTATTGAATGTGGGGGGCAAAATAGTGACATGGCTAGAGAGCATCAGGTTCAGGAACACCTAAGGAACCTGAAAGGACACAACTCCATGGGACCTGATGAAATACATCCATGACTCCTGAGGGAACTGGTGGATGAGGTTGCTAAACCTCTATCCATCATATCTGAGAAGTCGTGGCAGTGTGGTGAGATTCCCACTGACTGGAAAAGGGGAAACATAACCCACATCTTTAACAAGGAAAAAGAGGAGGATCCAGGGAACTACAGGCCAGTCAGTCTCATCTCTGTGCCTGGCAAGATCATGGAGCAGATCCTCCTTGAGACTATGCTGAGGCACATGGAAAATGAGGAGGTGATTGGTGACAGATAACATGGCTTCTCCAGGGGCAGATCATGCCTGAACAAATTTGGTGGCCTTCTAGGATGGAGTCACGACCTTGGTGGTTAAAGGCAGGACAGTTGGTGTAATCTACCAGGACTTGTGCAAAGCATTTGACACCGTCCTGCATTACATCCTTGTCTCTAAATTGAAGAGGCATGGATTTGACAGATGGACCACTCAGTGGATAAGGAACTGGCTTGATGGTCGCACTCAGAGAGTTGTGGTCAATGGTTCAATGTCTGAGTGGAGACCAGCGACTAGTGGAGTTCTTCAGGAGTCAGTACTGGAACCGGTGCTGTTCAACATCTTTGCCAGTGACATGGATGGTGGAATTGAGTACACCTTCAGCAAGTTTGCTGATGACACCAAGCTGTGTGGTGCAGTCAGCACATTGGAGGGAAGAGATGCTATCCAGAGGGACTTGGACTGGCTGGAGCGGTGGGCGTGTGCCAGCCTCATGAAGTTCAACAAGGCCGAGTGCAAAGTCCTGCACCTGGGTTGGGGCAATCCCAAACATAAGTACAGGCTGGGTGGAGAATGGATAGCGAGCAGCACAGTAAGGTGCTGCTCAGTAAGGTGGCAGCACAGTAAGGCATCTGTATCTTGGGCAGTATCCAGATGTCATGGTTTAGCCTTATCTGGCAATTAAGTACCACTCAGTTGCTCCATCACCTGTTCATTTCCCTCCCAGTGAAGGAGGAAAGTTGGAGGAGAAAACCAAAGACAGCTCGTAAAAGTTGAAATAAGAACTATTTAATAATAGAAATGAAACTTATAGTGATAACAATACTACTAATAATAAATAATTAAACCAATAGAAAATAGAACATATGATACAGTAGCTCACCATGCCCTGACTGACACACAGCCAGATTCCAAAAGCAGCAAGCAAATCTGAGTGGAGAGAACCCCGAACCCCGAGCCCAAGAGCAGGGAGAAAAAAAAAACCCGCTGACCTCCCAACCCACTAACTAAAGAACCTGCTTCTCTGCTAAGAGCTACCCAAGAGCTAACAAACAGGAGCTAACAACCCAGCTGTCAGCTGGGCCCCCTAGGGCCACTTTTCATGCCTTCACAAACTGTGCATGTACACCCCTCAGCTTGACCACTGAGCCTGAAGTACCACTGAATTAAACAAAACCTCTCTGCTGCTGTGGGCCAGCCAGCTCTGTGTAATACAGCAGCTCATTCTTGCCTGAAATCAGCACAACAGAGAAGCATGGCCAGCAGGTCGAGGGAAGGGATTCTCTCCCTTTACTCTACTCTGCTCTCGTGGGACCCCACCTGGAGTACCTCTGGAACCCCAACATAAGAAAGGTATTGACTGGTTGGAGCAAGTCCAGAGGAGGGCCACAAAGATGATCAGAGGGCTGGAGCACCTCTCCTATGAAAAAAGGCTGAGAGAATTGGGCTTGTTCAGCCTGAAGAAAAGAAGGCTCCAGGGAGACCTTATAGCACCTGAAGGGGCCTACAAGAAAGCTCAGAGAGGACTTTTTACAAGGGCCTGTAGTGACAGGACAAGGGGTAGCAGGTTTAAATTGAAAGTGGGTAGATTTAGATTGGACATCATTCACAGAGAGGGTGGTGAGGCACAGGAACAGGTTGCCCAGAGAAGCTGTAGATGCCCCATTCCTGGAAGTGTTCAAGGCCAGGCTGGATGAGGCTTTAAACAACCTGGTCTAGTGGGAAGTGTCCCTGCCCATGGCAGGTGGGTTAGAACTAGTTATCTTTAAGGTCCTTTCTAACCCAAATGATCCAATGATTCTATGATTCTACGATGAGTGATTGGACAAGAGGAAACAGCCTCAAGTTGTGACAGGGAAAGTTTAGATTGGATATTAGGAAATATTTTTTCACTAAAAGTATTGTCAGGCATTGGAATGGGCTGCCCAGGGAGGTGGTTGAGTCACAATCTCTGCAGGTATTTAAAATATGTGTAGATGAGGTGCTTAGGGATATGGTTTAGTGGTGGATTTGGCAGTGTTAGGTTAACAGTTGGGCTTGTACGGAAAATCACGCTACCATGAGTCAGTGTTCACAAAGGAGACAGAGGAGTCCTGTAAAAAAATAATAATAAAACTTTATTCGAATAAAGGGAGAGTCCACAGGACATATTCCTGTGGGGTCTCTCACCTACAGAGGGATGCAGCCCCCTTTTATCCTACTTTTCCCAGCCGCAAGAGACCCTCCTCATTTCCCCATTGGCTGAGGCACTCTGAGTATACAGACTTCCCGATCCGCCTGAGACTTTCAAGACAAAAATGTTCTTTTGGCATAACCAAGATGTTCATGGGATTTTTAGATATTCCAGATGTTCAGGTAGTTAATACATTTAACACATTCAGTGGGGGGCAGGGAGGATAAGTTATTCAAGTAATTTACATATTTGAGAGGTCATGTAGTTTCGATACTCTTTCTTATCTTAAGTCTGAGTTCACACAGGTTTCTTTTGTTCCTTGTTATGCACAGGTTTCTTTTCTAAAGACGCGAAACTAGTGTTCCTCTCAGGCTTGATCTTAGTGGTCTTTTCCAACCTAAAATATTCTATGATTCTATGATCTTCAACCTTCTTTTGGGGCTCTGCTTCTTGTCATTTTGATAGCTTCTCTTCCAAGTTGCAAATGCTTCTTAGAAGCCAGTTATTTTTAACTGCATGTGATAGGCAGAATGGGAATGAACAGAGTTTCACAGAGCCCAATATGACTCAGAATGTGCTATACCTGCATTTCTATTGACTAGTGGTACTTGCAGTCATTCAAAACCAAAAGCTTTGCTCATTCCTCTGAGAGAAAGCAGATCTCTGCCTCATAGAAGGTATTGCATGCCACGCATTTTTGCAGACTCTTCTGGTTTTACAGGGGGATGAAACTGCTTAAGCAACTAGGAACTTTGAGACTTGACTGTCGAAAGATTCCGCCTCCAAACAGCTTCTCAGCCCTTTTGCTGCCAGTAGGTCATAGCACATTATGTTTTGTGGGTTCTCAATATAAAAGAAGTTATATGTGAACTTAAATAAAAACTTTTAAATACTTTCAGGAAAATGTTCACCTCCAGCACACCAAGTTTAATCTTATTTCCCCTTGGTGGGCCTCACAGATAGAGGATGCTATCTAACACCTGTGTGCCACTTTTTGATGAGTAAGTCAAAATGCTGATAGCCCTCTCCTGTGGCAGAGAACATTAAAAGCACTCTAAGTGAATAAACATCTTTCCAAAATGTTAAATAGTAAAGTGTCATTAAGAACAAGAAAAACTGAATAGGAGGGAGAATATTTTGCATTTTCTCTCATTTTTATTTCTATTTCTATATGTTTATGCTTCTAGTCTATATAAATCTTGCTTCTGCAGGAATGTATGGGGACACCCCAAGCAAGATTAAATATTTCTCAGGTATCAGTGACCAGCCTCTCACAAGACACAGAGGATGGTAAAGCTTCATAACCAGAAAGGGTCTGGCAGCACAAGGCAGGACTCTGAGTCACTCTCTCTGCAACTACCTGAAAGGAGGTTGAAGAGAGGTGGATATTGGTCTCTTCTCCCAAATGACAAGTGATAGGACAAGAGGAAATGACCTCAAGTTGCACCAGGGGAAGTTTAGATTGGATATTATGAAAAATTTCTTCACCTAAAGTCTTGTCAGGTGTTGGAACGGGCTGCCCAGGGAGGTGGTGGAGTCACCATCCTGGAGGGATTTAAGAGACATATGGATGTGGTGCTTAGGGCCATGGTTTTGTGGTGGACTTGGCAGTGTTGTGTTAATGGTTGGACTTAATGATCTTAAAGGCCTTTTTCAACCTAACTGATTCTATGATTTCTTTAGTGTCTTGGTTTTCTCAGACCCAATAAGAATGTCACAGAAAGGAAGAAGTTCAGGGACAGTATCAACATCAGTTCGTAGACTGCCAGGGAAAAGTCCTTAGACCATCCTCAAGGATTTTCTATCCTCTGGCAAACTTACAACACAAACAAATACTTACTCCAACTATATGTTAAAAAAAAAAAAAAAGAAACCGGTATCTCAACCACTTTCCAACTCAGTCCCATGAACATGCACATATCAAAGCCTCAGTCTTATCTTTGAAGGAAACCTTGTTTCTAACTTTTCTTCATGTGATGCCCCACTGGGCCCACATCTTTTAGGGCTAGGACACTTCCTCACCCTCAAGTCTTTAAGGTGCTTATGTGCAGAGCACATCAATCTGATTTGGGGGTTATTTAGCACTTTCTTGCCAAAGAAGAGTAGTGCAGTTTGCTGTAAGTTGCTCTTCAAATAGGTTTGGATGCAATGTGACTAATGATGCTTATTTCTTACTACTTGTAAAACCCACCTGGGTGTTAGATCTATGTCTGCTATTATTAATGCAAATGTTCGTGTCCTTTTGTGAAAGGGTTTCCTTTGGAATGAAGAGCATATATATATAATTAAAAGGATACTCAAAGCAAACACCAAAATTTCTAGGAGTTTTAACTTGTTAAAAGTAATTAAAATACACAAAATGAGGTGAAACAAACCACTTTTATAAAAAGAAAAATATTCAAATTCCATCTGTATATTCTTTTCAATATAAGCTTTATAACTGAAATGATAAACCAGACTTTATTTCACTTTCTGGTCATATAATATTTTATAGATATTTTTAAGAACATAAACTGCCTGTTTTCTTGTTATTACTGTAAACAATACTAAACTGCATGATAATGGTAAATATTAAAAGCCTTTTTTATACAGGTAAATCCTTCTGTTATCTTCCACAGCATTAAAAACACAATATAATAGAAGTATTCCTGCACTCTGCTAGGCATAATCTGACCTGTCTGTTCTGTTTCCCAAAAGTATTTAAAAGTTCTTGATAAAATTAGGTATATTGAGGTAAACTGAATTTCTTTCCTCGATCTCCCCTGCTACCTGCTGGTCAAAGTGTTCATTGTTCTCACAACATTTTTTATTTGGTGAGATGCAGTAAATAGGTAAAATGGAAAATAGAAAACCAAACACCTGAACCCCATAATAAATGTTGTCTCTGCACATGCCACAAATTAAACTTCTATGCTCTTTGTTTGCTGTCTTGCCTTGCCAGCAGGTGCAGATAAAAACCCTTACTATGTGATATAGATGCTTTAGAAAGACCAGTGCAAGTAATGCACAGGTGAAAGAAGACAAATAGCTGAACTGAGATTCAAAGAAATTTTGTTCAAAGATATGAGCTAAACCAGTTGTACAGCTATAAATGATTTGTAGCAGAAGAACTGGAGTAGAATACAGGAAACATTTGCTGCACTGCTTTTGAAATTCATCAGTATTTCTAAGGGAGCTTTAAACTGTAAGTTATTCAAAAAACTTGGTGGTCAGA